GGGCAGTAAAAATGGGTTTTGGGGCCAGAAAAATGGGGTTTGGGGCCAGAAAAATGGGGTTTGGGGCCAGAAAAATGGGATTTGGGGCCAGAAAAATGGGGTTTGGGGCCAGAAAAATGGGGTTTGAGGCCATAAAGATGGGGTTTGGGGCCACAAGAAAGGGGGTTTGGGGCCAGAAAGATGGGGTTTGGGGCCAGAAAGATGGGGTTTGGGGCCACAAAGATGGGGTTTGGGGCTACAAAATGGGGTTTGGGGCCACAAAGGGACTTCAGGTGCCCACCTGAGCCCCTTTGCAGGTTCGGCTGCCTCAGACCTGGCTTGGCAAAACTTTGCTGCCTGTTGGGCTGGGCTTTGTGGAGCGAGGCTTTGGGAAATTCCGAGGCCACGGGGCCGAGCATCCCTCGCAGCCCTCGGCAGCTCCGCCGGGGGTCCCTGGCCCCTCTCTCTCCCCCCGTTGCTGGGAGACTCCTGCGAGGGTCCCTTGAGGGGATTAAAACTGTTCCGCATTCTTGTCTGGGAGGGGAAAAGAAGGAGGAAAAAAAAAATAAAAATAAAAGATTCTGCTGGATTCAGTTGTAAATTCAGCCCTGGGAGCGCATTGTGTGCCCGCAGCCCCTTTGAAAGGGGATTAGAAGGAGTCTATTCTTACTCCTCTTTCTCCTCCCTTTTCAGTCTCCTTGCAGAGGAAAACTTGAAATTCCCAAAAGGAAAGCCTGGAAAACTCCGGGTGTCTCACTCAGGGATCTGCTTTTCCATCCAAACTTTCTCTTGCTCCTAGAAATAAAGTGTTTTAGAGGCAAACAACCCCCGAGGTTTGGGGTTTTTTTCCCTTTTCCTGACCCCAGGACGCGGCTGTTGTTGTTGTGTGGCATTCCTGTGGCTGGACACGATCCCTGCAGAGCCCAAAAATCGGGAGCAGGGCTGTGCCACCTGGGGGGAGCCTCGGGGACCCCAAAAATGAGATGTCGCAGATTTCCCTCGGGGGGAGCCTCTCCCTCGTGTGCAGCAGCAGCACTTGGGGAGGAATAAACCCCAAATCGATCAAATCCGCTTTTCTGGGAGCTGTTTCCATGGAGCTGCTCGGCTCGCGGGGATCTCGTTTGTGAATCCCTTCACGAAATAGGGGAGGGAGGAATTTCTTCCTTTGGGAATTCACGGTCCCCTCTGTGCTCACCCACAGGTGGCCATCAAATCCATCCGCAAGGACAAAATCAAGGATGAGCAGGACCTTGTCCACATCCGGAGGGAGATTGAGATCATGTCCTCCCTCAACCACCCGCACATCATCGCTGTGCACGAAGGTGAGGCCTCCTTTCCCTTCCCTTTTCCAGCTGCATCCACGATGGGAGCCTTTGGAATGGGCTTTGGGGGGCTCTTGGGGTGGGTTTGACCCGGTGCTCTCCTCCCTTCCAGGACCTGGCTCCGGGTCCTGGTCACTCACAGGGAATGCAGATCCTGGGCTGTGTTTTCCCTGCTCCAGAAGCAGCCTTTCCTGTCCCTTCCCTTCCCTCCCAGACCGGAATCCAGCTCCAACCGTGGATTTTGTGGAAGCCTCGGTGGGGCTGTGGAGGGAGGCTGAGCTGCCCCGGGGAGCAGGGGCTGAGTGTGACGCTCATCCCAGGGAATCTGGGATCTCTGTGGATCCGCTCTGAGCCCGAGGCGGGATTTAATCTCAGTCCTGGAGTCCTCCTCATTCCCTCCCCCGGGGCACTGGAAAACCACTTTGGAAAAGCAAACCACAGCGCGCTGGGAGAGTTCCTGGTGCTGCCGGGCTTGGTTTTATGGCCAGGGCTGGGCTTCGCTGCCGGGTGTTTGGGATAACCCAGGAGAAATTTCTCCAGCTCCAGGCAGAACCAGACTCAGCCCAAATCCACAGGCGGCTCAGGCTCAGCGGCCACCGAGTCCTGGAGGCTGCCGTTCCCCTCCTCGGGCTGGCTCTGCCGCTGCTCCCGGCGCTTGGGAGGGATCCGGAGCGCTTTTGTCCTCCAAACAAAGGCGAGCGGGCTGGCAGCTCCTCCGCGCTGTTTGCGAGGGCTGACTCACAGCGGCCGCTGGAATTCACAAATACCGAGTGCAAACAGGAAGAAAACGCTCCGGCTCTTGGCTCCAGACAGGGACTTTTTTGGGAGCAATGGGGACAGGCAGGAAGGTCCCCAGAGCTGTCACCTTCCCCTTGGCGGGGGTTTCAGCAAGGAGCCGCGTGCCTGAGTCACCTCGGTGGTGGCAGAGCCAGTGGTGGCACAGCCCCGGTGGTGGCACAGCCCCGGTGGTGGCACAGCCTCAATGGTGGCACAGCCTCAATGGTGGCACCGCTGGTGATGACACAGCCCCGGTGGTGGCACACCCTCGATGGTGGCAGAGACCCGGAGGTGGCAGAGCCCCGGTGGTGGCACAGCTGGAGGCCAGCAGCCCTGGTGGCACTTTGCGGGGCGGGTTGGTGACACCTCTGGGGACCCTCCCGCCGTGCAAGTCCCTGCTCAGCCCAGGAGTGACGCCGGGATTGGGACGGGCAGGTTCGGGTCAATCGAGGCTCATTAACAGGAGCGTCCTAACGAGAATTCCCGCAATTCCGAGGATCCCTTTTAACCCTTTCCGGTGCCCCGCAGTGTTCGAGAACAGCGCCAAGATCGTCATCGTGATGGAATACGCCAGCAAGGGCGACCTGTACGAGTACATCAGCGAGCGGCAGCGGCTCTCGGAGCAGGAGGCGCGACACTTCTTCCGCCAGGTCGTGTCCGCCGTCTACTACTGCCACAAGGTGAGCTGGCACCGAGCTTCCCGGGGGCTTCCCGGTCATTTCCCGGCTGGAGAGGGGCTGGATGGGCTCCGGGGTGCTCCTTCCAGTGATTTCCTGGCTGGTTGGGCTCTGGGGTGCTCATCCTGATGATTTCCCGGCTGGATGAGCTCCGGGGTGCTCTTCCCGGTGATTTCCCAGCTGGAGAGGGGCTGGATGGGCTCTGGGTGCTCCTTCCAGTGATTTCCCGGTGGGAGAGGGGCTGGATGGGCTCCGGGGTGCTCCTCCTGATGATTTCCCGGCTCGATGGGCTCCGGGGTGCTCCGCCCTGCAGCGGAATGGTTTGGGAGCGATGCAGCCCCACGCAAGGTGAGGGGAGCTCGTGGCTCTCCGCCTTTCCCAGCAGAAGGAATTTGGGTTTTTTGATCCTGCCTTTGGTCTGAAGGGCGTGGCAGTGCCCCGGCAGCTTTTGGGAGGTCCTGGCCTCGGCTGCTGCCGTGTGGGGGGTGACTAACCCGGCCTGGGAGTTGCCACCTCCCCTCCCACCCTGCCAGACGGAGACGCCCAGGGCTGCCCGCGGGGCTGGAAGCCAAGCCCTGGGTCACCTGTCCTGTTCCTGACGGGAATGTGGAGCTGCAGGACCCTCCCCGGGGCTCTGGGATGATTCCCTGGCAGGACCCTGCAGCCCGGGGGTCTCCCTGCAGCCCCAGGGTCTCCCTGCAGCCCGAGGGTCTCCCTGGCAGGACCCTGCAGCCCGGGGGTCTCCCTGCAGCCCCAGGGTCTCCCTGCAGCAGGCTCCCAGGCTGTGCCGCAGCCCTCGCTGGGATCAGGGGGTGGCAGAGCAGCTCCTGACCCCACACCAGACCGAGGGCTTGCTGAGCTGGGCACGGCAGGCCCTGGCCGAGCAGGAGCTGTGCCCTGCCGGGGCTGGCACCACGAGCTGCCGTGCCTGGGGACAATGGAAGAGCCCAGGGTGGCACCTGCTGCGGGCACCTCCCCGCTCCCGCTGCCGAGCCGGTGCCACCCGGGCAGGGCCACCCATCCCCGGGGCCACACCCGTGCGGCTCCTCTGCTGCGCCCGTGCCCGGCAGTGACCTCCGGGAGCGCCGGACTCTTCCCCTCCCTCTAAACCTCCACGAATTCACCCCGGCTCTTCCCGCAGAACGGGATCGTCCACCGGGACCTGAAGCTGGAGAACATCCTGCTGGATGCCAACGGGAACATCAAGGTGAGGGGCTGGCACTGCCCGGGGTGTCACCCGGGGGAGCTGCCCAGCCTGGAGGGACAGGGGGTGACATCTCAGTCCCCCCAGGGCTTCCCAGAGCTCCGGCAGCACCTGGAACGCTGTTTGCCCAGGAAAAGCTGGCAGCATCTGGCAGATCTGGTAGAGCCATAACTGATAGCAGCCTGCTGATAAGGGGGCAAAGTCTGAGCACCCAGATCAAGGCTGGCCCGACGAGAAGGGCTCTTTTCCTGGTTCCTGTGTGTGCCAGCCAGGAAACCCCAGCTCCCCCACGGGCCCTGAGCGATGCTTTCCGCCAGGGCACGGCCTGGCCTCAGCCAGGGATCCCCCGAGGATGGGTTTATCTCCGCCGGGGATCATTTTGCAATGGGGAGCTCGGGGGCAGCCACGGAAGCTCCTGCTGGGAGCGAGGTGACGGCTGTAATGAGGATAATGAGCACCTGTGGCAGGCGGAGCTGACAGGGACCGCTGCAGCCTGGGGTGGCTGGGAATGAGCTGGAGGAAAGCCTGGAAGTCCTTCCGACCTCACCTTTCCACTCCGCTCCCGCCGCCAGGGAGCTGCTGCCGTGCCTGGCATGAGGTTTTTGGGAGGCAGAAAGCAGCAGGAGTGACCTCGGGGGTGGAAAACCAGGCTGGTGGTGACCCCTGAGGGGACTCAGAACCAAGGGCAGCCCTGGTTTGGACCAGGTTCATCCCTGGAGAGCTCCAGGGGAGCTTTCAGCCTTGGGAAACGGGACTTTGGGAAAGGGGACTCTGCCGCTGGATGACAGCTGTGTTTTCCCCCCCAGATTGCAGATTTCGGGCTGTCCAACGTTTTCCAGCAGGACAAGCTCCTGCAGACCTACTGCGGCAGCCCCCTGTACGCGTCCCCCGAGATCATCAACGGGCGGCCCTACAAGGGCCCCGAGGTGAGTTGTGCCTCCCTCCGGGCTGTGGGAACCGCTCTGGGCATTTCCCAGCCTATTTTGGGGTGACAGAACCACTGAGCCCGGGCACTGCGGGGCTGCTGGCAGTGCTGGGGTCCTGCCCCACGCTCTGTCCCTTCCCTGTGGCTGCTGCCATCCTGGCGGGGTGGGGTCCTGCTGTCCCCTGCAGGCTCCTGTGTCCCTTTCACAGGTGGACAGCTGGTCCCTGGGTGTCCTCCTCTACATCCTGGTCCACGGCACGATGCCCTTCGACGGCCACGACTACAAGACTCTGGTCAAGCAGATCACGAGCGGGGACTACCGGGAGCCCACGAAGCTCTCAGGTAGGGACAGCCCTGTCCCCCGCCCGTGTCCCCCTCCCCGCGTCCCCTCCCGTGCCTGACCCGTCCCTTCCGCAGACGCCTGCGGGCTGATCCGCTGGATGCTGATGGTGAACCCCGAGCGCCGGGCCACCATCGAGGACATCGCCACGCACTGGTGGGTCAACTGGGGCTACAAAATGCCGCTGGGCGAGCAGGAGCTGCTGCGGGAGAGCGAATCGCCGCTGGCCACGGTGGCCGAGTGGCTGCGCCGCTCCTCCCGGCCCCTGCTGGAGAACGGCTCCAAGGTGCGCTGCTTCCTGAAGCAGCACATCCCCAGCGTGGCCCTGGAGCGGCAGCGCTCCCTCAAGAAGTCCAAGAAGGAGAACGACGTCTCGCACGCTCTGCAGGAGGTGCCCGCGGGCCCCGAGAACCCCTCCAAGTCCATCCTCAAGCGGCCCAAGGGCATCCTGAAGAAGAGGAGCTCCTGCGAGCAGAAGGTGCCCAGCCCCTGCCCGCCGCAGGGGGAGGATGAGGAGGGGGTCCCCGCGGGCTTCTCCAGGATCCTGCCCTCGGGAACAGCGGGAGCGGCGCCCGCGGCCGTGCCCAAGAAGGGAATCCTGAAGAAGCCCTCGGCCAGGGAATCGGGGTATTACTCGTCCCTGGAATGCTCCGAGTCCGGGGACGTGCTGGACGCGGGGAGCTTGGACCTGGACGGGAGCGTGTTCGCCGAGCCGCCCTCCCCGCCCCGCCAGGGCCTCCCCGCCCGCAGGAAAGGAATCCTCAAGCACAACGGCAAATTCTCCTCGGGGAGCGCCGAGCCGGGGACCCCCCCCGGGAGGGGCTTCGGGGGCTTCAGCGAGGTGTCGCTGCCCCAGGGCCCCCGCGGCCGGCCGGCCAGCGCCGTCAGCGAGGACAGCATCCTGTCCACAGAGTCCTTCGAGCAGCTGGACCTGCCCGCCCGCGGGCCCCCCGGCACCGGGGCCATGCGGGGCTGCGTGTCCGCCGAGAGCCTCCTGCGGCTGGAGGAGGAGGAGGAGCGGGAGGAAGGGCGGCGGGTGCGCCGCTGGACCGTCACCCACTGCCGCAGCCCCTTGGCGGAGAGCAGCGCGTCCCTGGCGGGCGGTGACGGCGGCACCGAGCTCTACCGGAGCGCTCTGGCCGTAGGGGTGAAGCTGAGCTGAGCCCACTTCCCCTCCCCCGGGCTGCTGCGTTTTGGGGAGGGGGCTGAGCGAGCCAGCCTCCCTCCCTCCCTCCCTCCCCCGGGGCTGCCGGTGCTGCTGATCCACATCCCACGGATTTATTTGGCAGCCTCGGGGCGGGGCAGCGGCCGGGGGATGCCCCAGGGCCAGGACATTTAATGGACCTTTAATGGACATTTAAAACCCCCAGACTGACTCCCGAGGAGGGGCTGGGGGGTCCCGGGGGCTCCTCGCTGCCGTCCTCCCCTCTCGAACAGGCTCATCTCATCACGGGGGTGAAAGCAAAGGGTTTTGGGGGGGATTTTTGTTTTCTTTGCACTGTTTTTTGGCTGCACAAGGTAACGGAGGGGGCGGGTGATATACCTCAAACAATCTGCAGATGTAGCAGGGTGCTGGCGAGGGCTCAAAGGTGCTGCCCGTGGGCTCTGGGCTTTGGGAGGTGCTGGGGGTGCCCAGGCCACGGCTCTGCCCTCTCCTGAGCGCTGAGAAACTGGATGTGGCCAAAAGGAAATGCTGTGATGCCGACATCTCTCATTGTAACGTAGAAAACAAACAAAAAAAAAAAAGCAAAAAAAAAAGGTGCCTTTGGTGAGGCACCGAGTGTTTATTTATTATTGCCTTTGTCCAGGCTGGTGTGGAGGGCAGCAGCACGGGGTGTGTCTGGCTCCACAGAGCCTCCAGGGGTGTTTTTGGGGAGGTGTCCTTGTGTCACACCTTGGCTCCCTTGCACTATTGCCGCGTGTGCTCGCTGCCAGGGGGGTGTTGTGTTCTCCCTCCTTCCCACAGCACGGGCTGGAGGAAAACATTAAATTAAAAGCAAACGGTAAAGCCGAGTTGTCACCTTGATTGCTGGGGGTGAGGGAGGTGCCTGGGCCGGGCTGATGTCCCTGTCCTCGTCCCTGACCTTGTCCTTGTGTTTTTCCTGCTGGGATGGGGCCGTGGCTCAGCCCAGGTGAGGGTGGGCGAGCTCAGCCGGGTCCTGCAGGGTGGAACAGGTCAGTGTGCTCAGCCCCTCCTCAAACTGGGTTTAAATGGTGCCTCCCCAGCCCTCTGTGGTGCTGAACTGGGACTCATCCTTGATGTGGGGGCTCAGCGTCCCCCTAGTGGGAAATCGGGATTTTAAGGCTGGACAAACACAGCCCAAAATTTAGGGGAAGTTGTGACGAGGAGCCCCTTCTCCCCTCCCCACTGCGGGCAGCACCCCTGTCCCAGCCCCTCTCCCAAACCCCTCTCACATCCCTGGTGTGGGGGCTCGAGTGGGAAATCAGGATTTTAAGGCTGAGCAGCTGCTGGACAAACAGCCCAAAATTTAGGGAAAGCAGGACAGTGGGGGATCAGGATTCCTTCTCCCCACCACCAGCAACCCCCTGTCCCAGCCCCGCTCCCAAGCCCCTCTCACATCCCTGAACCTGAATTTGGGGGATTTCCCCGGGTTTTGGTGGCAGGAGCCGCCTCTCCACCCTTTGCCCTTCTGGCTCGGAAATCCAAGTGTTTGCTCGGTGACCATTCCCGGTTTCCAGCGGGGTTAAGCGGAGCCGTTCCGTGCCGGCGCAGCGGGGACAGGGTGGCAGGGCCATGCCCGGAATGCCACCCCTTGTCCCAGCGGCCGGTGGCAGGGGGGGGTCACCGCGCCCGGCCCCCCCTCCGCGCATTCCCCGCGTGCTTCCCGAGCCTTTGGGAAACTCTGGAGCGCTTAAAGCCGCTCCGAGGGCGCCCGGCTGAGCCTGGGCAAAGTCCCGGTGCTGCCGAGCTGGGATAGGACGGGATCCATGGGATGGGATTGGGATGAGCCGGGCACGGAGCAGAGGCTCCTTCTTGGGTTTGCATCTTGGGATGCCGTGGCCCTGTTTTATCCGGGATTTGCAGGAAAACGCCCCCACGCTCTGGTTTGGAGCCGTGGCAGCTCTTCGACCGCCAAAGGACGGTTGGAGAAACCCTCAGGCACGGCATTCCCAAAGATACTTTAATGGGAATTTGGGGTGACACAATTCCTTGTGGGAGCACAAGGGTCACACCTGAGCCCAAAATGCCACCCCAGACGCCACTGGGGACCTGGGTGGCCGCTCCGGCTCTCTGGGTGGCCCCGCTGGGTGTGAGGAGCTTGTCCCGGTGTCGAGGTCCGCTCAGCCCAACCCTGAGCTGTGACATCTGCTCCGAGTCCCTTCCCGACTTCTCCGGGGCCATGGGAAGGGTGGGGAATGCCCTTGGATGAGGCAGAGGCAGCCCGAGGACACCCCGGTGTCGCTGGGAGCCCACCCCCCATCCCAGCGCTCCCGGAATTCCCTCGCCAGCCCCTGGAAACGCTCCTTTCATCCCAGCCTCGATTTCCGCTGCCTCTCAGCCCCCCACCATTATTCGCTTTTATCCCTGCGGCCCTTTCATCCCGGGGATTGGCAATTCCCGCAGCCCTGCCCGGCCCCGCGGGGCTTTGGGGCGGCTGGAAATGACCTCAGCCGCCTTTTGCTGAGAAAATGTCATTTTTTGGGGGTGACTTCAGCCCCGAGCACTGCGGTTGCTGCCCGGCAGGGTGTGGGGACAGGAAAACCGGGAAAAACACCGGGAGATGAATTGTCCTGGAGGATGAGGGGATGCCCGAGGGCTCGGAGCACCTGTGGGTTTATATCCACTGATCCGAGCTTCCCTGGTCACAATCCCAAGGGATTAAACGGCCTGGACCCTTCTCCTGCTGCTCCTGGGGGAAATTGGTGCTTCCCACTGCTGAACCCCGGGATTTGGGACGGCAACCATCTCCAAAGGACAGGTGTAGGGATTTTCAGCCACGGGAATTGGGTATTCCCAAAGGTTTTTAATGGGAATGCTGGGGTGGGTGGTGTCTGTGCCTCTTTGGGTCACCCCAGGCTTGGATCCCCCCGGAGCAGCGGCAGCGCCCTGAAAAAGGGGGGAAAGGAATTTTGGGGTCGGAGCAGCCGTGAGCTGCCGGGGGGAGCAGCTCCAGCACCACCCCCAGCAGGTCCTGGGAGGGTTTCCCGACAGAGCCCGGGGACCCTGAGTCACCCCCGGCTCCTGCCCGGGCTGTGCCGGGAATCCCGGATCCACGGAGCCTGGATCGGGATCATCATTTGGGATCATCATTTGGGATCATTATTCAGGATCATCATTTGGGATCGTCATTTGGGATCATTATTCAGGATCATCATTTGGGATCATCATTTGGGATCATTATTCAGGATCATCATTTGGGATCGTTATTCAGGATCATCATTTGGGATCATTATTTGGGATCATTATTCGGGATCATCATTTGGGATCATCATTTGGGATCATCATTTGGGATCATTATTTGGGATCATTATTCGGGATCATCATTTGGGATCATCATTTGGGATCGTTATTCGGGATCATCATTTGGGATCGTTATTCAGGATCATCATTTGGGATCATCATTTGGGATCACCATTTGGGATGGAGAGCGAAGCGGGAGGAGCAGGCTCGGGGGGGACACAGGGGTGACCCTGGGGACAGCCAGCGGCCAAAGCCACCTCCGGTGCCGGGAATGCGGGGATGGGACTGGATCCCACCGGGAATGGGGTGGATGAGGGGCCCAGGCAGGTCCAATTAACTGCTGGCTTTTAATGAGAGCAGCTCAGGGATGCCCCTGGAGCTCTGGAATTTGGGTGTCACCTCCCCTCTGTCCTTCTTTGGAACCTTTGGGTTGTTCCTTCCTGTCGGAATCTCCCGTTGTCGGTTTTCCCTTTTTTGTGTGTCTGACACATCGTGGGCGCAGAGCCAGGGATATTTCTGAGGCATTTTGTCAGAACTTTGAGCGCCGGAACAATTAACACAACAAAGTCGAGGTGTTCCTTTGCCTCTGATTCTTTCAAAGTGTTTTTTTGTTTTTTTTTTCCCTGCAGGTTTTTTTTTGTAGTTGTTTTTTTTGTAGTTTTTTTTGGTAGTTTTTATTTTTTTTTTCTTTTGTAGTTTTTTTTTTATTTATTTTTCTTTTAAAAGTGCCTCCACAACCTCCTGTTTGATTGCTGGGTTTCTTTGAAGATCTGAAGGAGAGAAATCCCCACATGAAAGTTCTCCCGTCTCCAATGGCAGCCTGGAGCTGCCCCCCCAAAAAAAAAGGGGGAAGAAAGGGGCTCCCGGAAACTTTGATCCCATTTTTTTTTCTGGAGCACAGGGAATGGCTGGGTCACACCTGAGCCAAAAATGCGACCCCAGACCCCACTGGGGGCCCGGCTGGCCGAGCACTGGTGGCCACTCTGAAGCTCCTGTGCCCTCCTGGAGCCTCGGTGATGTTTTTTTTGGGGTGCTGGGTCTCTGCTGGAAGATTTCTCCAAGCAGGACAGCTCTGTCCATCCCATGCCACAAACTCTGGGATGTGGAATGGGACAGAAGGGATCAGATCCAGCAAAATTTGTGGCTGTGGGACCATCAGGACGTCTCCTGTTGTTCCCATACCTTGCAGGATCGTGCCTGCCATGAGCTGACGGGAGCCACAGAACACAAAATCATGGAATATCCTGAGCTGGGAGGATCCACAAGGATCACGGAGTTCAACTCCTGAGCACAGCCCCTCATCCCGACCCTTCTGCCGCTCCCGGGACACTCCGGGCTTGTAAAATCCCCGAGTTCTCACCCTCGGGCGGCATCTGGGGTGACTCGGGTCACCTCCTGTCACCCCTGCCATGGCTCCGTGCCCCAGGGACCCCCAACCCCGCCACCCTGGGGTGGGCACGGGGCTGCTGCCAGCCCTCCCAGGGCGAGCAGGAGGCTCCAGCAGCCTCTGCCCAGCTCCGCTTCTGCCTCCCCGGGGAGGCTCCGCGCCCGTGGCAGCGCTCACCCCGCGTCCCGCACCGGGAGGGAGCGCGGCACCGCCGGCAGCTGCGGGCGAGCCCGATTTTCCCGATTTTCCCAGCGGATCTGGCAGCCTGGGAATGCAAAGCAGCAGCCAGACAGGTTTTTGGAAAGGGCCGGGCCTGGCGGATCCCGAATTCGGGACGCTGGTGCCCAGCCAA